CAATACGTAATAATATGTATTAAATAATACATAATAAAAAATAATACATCAGCATAATAATAATAATAATAATAACAACAACTACAACAACAACAACAACAATAAGAAGAATAAATATTAATTATAATAATATTAAAGGTAATAATAATAATAATAATAATAATAATAATATCAATAATATTAAATAATAAAAAGAATATTAATAATGATAAGTTAATATGATGATGATAATAATAATAATAATAATAATAATAATAATAATAATAATAATAATAATAATTATTATTATTATTATTATTATTATATTTTTTATTATTTTTTTATTATTATTGACTTTTTGGTTTTATATATTCTAGTAAAATATGCACTACTTTATTGCTTTAACAATGCATTATATATCAGGGGGTTTACTGGATTTAGAAAAGAAAACTAATTTTTATAAACCTTTAGCCAGTCTGAAAATAAAAATGAATATGTTTTTTAGATTATGTATACAGTATGTGAATTGTGAAAGCAAAATTACATTAAAACTCACCGAAGCCTTAAAAACCAATAGTATCATCCATGTAATTATAAAAATCCAAAACTACTAATCGATCATTTAGTATCAGCCAATATTATAATATCAGTGCATCACCACTATTTTGTGTTAAAATCTTTCCTATTGTATTATTCAATCGTTTATATTAAAATCTGTATCTAAACCCCAATTCACCAGTATGTCCTCACCGGAATAAGAAAATAAGGCTTTGAACACATATCCACAGCCTGGAGATATTTCCAGCACCACTTGTGGTCAATGATCCCCCATAAAGGCGACCCTATTATTTTGCGCAGAGCATGTATCTGTGTGAACGGTGAGCCGGCAGCATGAGGGTTAAACTCTGACAAGAACAGTAATGAGAGAGCAGCCAGACGTGTGAGGTAATTAGTCAGTCCGCTCTCCAATATTTACCCAGTTAATTATTTGTGAGTTTTACTCTTGTCTTCCCCTCAGACTGCTGCCGCTGTTGTTTTTTCCACACCATTTGTCACAATCTAACTCTCCTGGGCTGGACTTTCTCTCTCTGTTTCTCTTTCACCAGGGAGTGGCATTTGGATGAACTCTTGTCAGTTTAGGTGTTACACCGCTGTCCCTGAATGTGTGAGGTCAGAAGATTATTTATTCATCCCGCAGTTCTCTCACTACAGCTCAGAGATGTGAAAAGGCCTGGTCTGCGGCCTGAGAGCTTTGGGGAAAAGTGGAGGGCAAACAGAAAAAGGAGAAACAGTGTGAGAGAAACAGAGCTGTGTGTGGCCTTGAGTCAATAGCAGGAGATCCAGTCACACACCGCACTGCTTGTTAGTGTATTATTCAGGCTTGTGGTGCTAGTGGGCTCAGTGGGCGTTTCTGTGTGGAGTTTGCATGTTCTCCCTGCCTTCGTGTGGGTTTCCTCCAGGTGATCTGGTTTCCCCCACAGTCCAAAGACATGTAGTACAGGTGAATTAAGTAGGCTAAATTGTCCGTAGTGTGTGTGAACGAGTGTGTGGATGATTCCCAGAGAGGGGTTGCGGCTGGAAGGGCATCTGCTGCGTTAAAACTTGCTGGATAAGTTGGCGGTTCATTCCGCTGTGGTGACCCCGGATTAATAAAGGGACTAAGCTGACAAGAAAATGAATGAATGAATAAAAGACAGAACATGTTACTTTAAAAACTGTGATGTAAATAAATCATATGAACATTTTATTATTACTATTATTATATCACAATAATATTAGTGAAATGAATGTAAAAACGGAATAAATATAAATGTACACCCATTTACACAAGTAAATTCATAAACTGATGACGGGCTACAAATCTGCAGATTTCTGTGCACACAGATTTGTGTGGGCCTACATATAACATTATATAAAAATACACACTAACCATGTGTAAATAGCCCCATGGTATCAGTTACCGAGAGCTTGAAGTCTGACATGAAGATGCTTCACTTCTTCATAAAAACCACAAAGGAACATCAGAAGTTATTTTAAGGAATCAAATAACATATCTTATTTGCATCTAATTCAATTAATCAAAATGTTTTTCATCCATGGACAGATAAAACAGCTTATGAACATCTAAAATGTCACATTTCACAGAAAAACATTACGAGTTCCACAACGTACATGTTTGTAACAGGAAAACCAAGAACTAGAGATGAGCATTTTCTAAATACATGCATTACAGGGTATTTTCATTACATTATTTTAACAATGTCTTGAACAGTATGTTTGAAAAAAATACATTTGGGCCCAGACCAAACAAATGCTGTCCCCGGACCCTGTGAATTTCATTGATGTCCCTTGGTGCTGCAGCACAAATCATTACTTGCTGAAGGCAATGCATTTCCTGCTAGATAAAAGTAAAAAAGCGAGCACTATATCCATTTTCAGTGTCCGTATCTAGGAGGTTTAGCAGTGACAGAAGTGAGCAATTCTCAAGAATCTCCAGTGCTAAGATACGACAGAGTGCCAAAAACTTTCAGTGGTCACTTTTTCCCTCCGAATACCTACTGTTGAACTTTGCAAGCCCCCTGTGTGAAATCTTCGCGACGAGTCCTGAGGCATTTTACACTGTTCAACAACCACTGCTCATTCTAAAGGAATAATGTGGCCAATACGGACATCCTCCACCAGCAGTCTTTAATTAACAATCTCATATGAAAACACAAAGTAGTTTTGTTCGGTGTGGGGGGTTTGGGGCAGGGGGGGATTGGAGATGAGTAAGTGTGTGCGCGTTTGCGTCTTAGCATACATGGGCAAACCAGTAATTATTTCATTATGCCATGACAGCAATAATATTATAGTTGTGCGAGTGTGTGTGTGTGTGTGTGTGTGTGTGTGAGTGTGTGAAATGCTCTTATCTTGGGAACAAATGAGCCTTTCTCCCAGGGGAGAGGGCTGCACAGCAGGCCTGGGGTTGGCCTGCATTACTCTTCCTTCGCATAGCCGCCTTTTTAATATTCTTCCTCACGCCGCGCACCGCAATTATTTTGAAAATAAATTTAGCACAGATAAAAATTGTGCCTCTTGGGTCAGGTAAATGACTTCCTTGTTTTTATTGAGAAGACAAGGTGTTTATTAGCAGCCTTGTTGGCTTCTTGTGGGGAGGTTTTCTGAGTTTGAGTAATTGTCCAATTAAATGTAATTTGGGGATGAGCGCTAACCCAGCCGAATGTACGGTGCAAGTGAGACTGCTGCCGGGACGCGCATTAATGAATCCCAATGAGACCTAAAAAAAACAGCACAAGAGATCATGTGCATCTACCTTGGTTTTGCCTTCCAAATTTTAAGGCCTTATAGCTGGGATTTACAGTAAAAAAGCATGACTGTCCCTCCTTTTTCTTTTTTACTCGACACTCTTACTCTTATCTCATCCCTTTCTCCACATCTCTGCTCTCCAACACAAAAATAATTCATCATTCATGTAATTCCAGCATGCTGAGAAATTGCCTCTTATTCAAACAGAAAGGTTACCTTAATTGTTATGTAGCTCAGCTATTTATGCTTGTGCATAAAAATGCATGGGTGCTGCTTTGGAGAAAGGTCAGCCATTACAACTAAAGTAACTGTTTTCAGCCTATCCTTCTTTATACTCTTGATGCACATGGCTTTTTTTTATTTATTTTTTTTTGGTCTTTATTGTTCTGCCCACATTATGAGCTGGGATGACTTGAGACCCTCAACAAAACCATATTCCCACTTAACAAATGTCTCAAACTGTGGTCAGATTTGCCAAGGCACAAATATAAATCCAATGTATTTATTTTTGGACTAGAATTAATATTTTGAATGTTTGTTTGAATGTTTGTAATTTTCTAATTATTAACCTAAAGTCTGGTGACATTTTGGTTGCACTTTATTTTGCAGTATGTGCATGCATGAGTACATTACAAACTGTACTTACAGTACCTGGTATGTACTGATAATATTATAAGTTCGGGGCAGAATTTAAGGTTTAGGGGCAGGTTCAGAGTTAGTGCCTATCTATTACCCAGTAACTGGGTCCTGGTTATTGTAATTACTATATTGAGTACATGTATGTATGCACTCTCAGAAATAAAGGTACAATAGCTGCCACTAGGGAGGTATCTTTTCAAAAGATGTACTTTTGTACACTTTAGGTATTAATATGTGTGTTTAAACTACTCATTTTGACTCTTTAGGTACAAAAGCTTCACTGTTATTTTGATAGCATGTCAATTCAGTCCAGGTCAGTCATGCCAGCAGCTTCTAATGTATGTTGTGAAAAAACAACATGGAAAGACAAGATGCAACTAAATTAGCAGTAGCACTTGAGTCAGTTCATACAAGTGACATTCATCCAGCACAGCAAAAAAATGAGTGTACATTTAACTCAATTTGAGTTTAATTTAACACTCCTTGGGTGTACATATGACTCCCTCCATTTTGGAGTTAAAATAACACTTTCTAAAGTGTAAAATTTGTACATTACTCAAAGAGTTTATTTTAACACCATAAGAGTTTATTCTAACATCAAACCGGAGTGGTTGTTACCCTCCAAAGTGTTAATATATAAAATTTGTACATTACTCAGTGTTCATTTTAACACCGTAAGAGTTTATTCTTACATCAAACTAGAGTGTTTGCTACCCTTCAAAGTGTTAATATATAAAATGTGTACATTACTCAGTGTTCATTTTAACACTGTAAGAGTTTATTTTAACATCAAACCGGAGTGGTTGTTACCCTCCTAAGTGTTAATGTATAAAATTTGTACATTACTCAGTGTTCATTTTAACACCGTAAGAGTTTATTCTAACATCAAACTAGAGTGTTTGCTACCCTTCAAAGTGTTAATATATAAAATGTGTACATTACTCAGTGTTCATTTTAACACTGTAAGAGTTTATTTTAACATCAAACTGGAGTGCGTGGTACCCTTTAAAGTGTCAATATATTACCTTTATTTCCTAATTATCAATTGGTGGGTGTGACAGATAACAGTGATCAAATATGTTGAAAATTGTTTATTAAATGTTCATTAAACTTTAGAAATATTTTCAATACATTCAACTCTGCATTTAAAAATGCAACGACATATTTCAATTTTTTTTAACAAACTTTAGAAAATCTGTTTCCACAAGTGCAAGAAAATAGAATTAACACATGCGCAATAAAAAAGACCATTGTTTAAAAACTCCTTGTTTTGCAAGTCATAGAAATATCATATAACTCATTTTGTAACTCATAGAAATATCATAACTCGTTTTTTGTAACTCATAGAAATCATATAACTTGTTGTTTTGTAACTCGTAGAAAACTCATAAACCTGAGGTTACCTGAAACAACATATACTTATTTCATAAAGTGCAAACATGAAAGTGCCCATAGAAGCAACTAAGCTCATTTCTGCCACAAAAAAAGGAACAAGCTAAAAACTCACAATTCTGACTTCAATATAAAATCTGTAAATACATTCAGCTTATGTGCTAAACAATCAGAAATTAGTGCAAGCTAATTAAATATTTTCGTGCACAAAACAATGCACTGGAACAATATACAAATATGGTTCTTCAAATCCATATGATGCCTGTAAGTCAAATGGTCTGAAAAAAGGAAGATCCTCAACTCTTGACAAACCAAAAGTGTTATTTTCTCTTACATGGTATGCATGAAGATGCTCAACAAATCCAAGTGTTTCAAAGTCTTTAGTTACCAAAAGGTTTTGGTCCTCTATGAAAATAATTTCACATATTTTACTGAAAATTGGTAAGTCCTTCTCCATTTTACTGAACACCAGTAGATCATGACGATATTCCGTTCCTGAATATTTCAGCCATGAAGTTACTGTGATCTCACGGTCCAAAAAATGTGGATACATTTTAAGAATAATGTCACGATATGGCAAATCATCAAGGTCTAGAGTTTTTAAAGGTCCATATTCAACATTTTTAACGGGTAAACTTTCCCAATGATACGCAATTGCATATTGGTGTTTTATAGCAAAAGACTTGGTGAGGTTTTTAAAATTTTTTATGCTGTTTTTAAAAAACTTGTGTTTCGCTTCACAACGCATCGACCATACATGTACTAATGGACCAATTTTGCGTATACAATGTGGATAATGTAGCATAAAATGATGCTTGGGAATCAAAGACTTTTGTGGATATAGCTCTTTAAAAAGACTATGATGTTCTAAAATTAGATGTTTCAGATAGTAGGTCATGCCTTCTGTTATCACAGGAGAAAACACTATGTTGATGATCTGTAACAACAATAGTAATAAACGCCAGTAATTATTTTCCTCTTCAATGAGGTCTCCAAATATCAGAGGAATGTTCCGTATTAAACAGAATGTCTGAATGGCATTTAGACCTATAGAATTAGCTGTCTGCTCTAGATTTAATCTAGTGGGTCGGTTTTTTCTTTCAAGAAAGCCATAATTGAAAGAATAGATTCTGTTACATACGTCTTGTCTTGGTATAATGCCAGAAAGATATTCAAGAAGTAACTTCATTTCATACTGACCAACACCCTCGAGGATGTCGTGCATTATATCAGGGGAGTAGTTGTCACAAATATGAAAGTATTTTAAGTCATTAAATAGACAAGTACGCTTAACCCCAAAAGATGAAGTAATGCTAGGGTCAGCTACCAAATCTGCATAGTGCTGTTCTTGTAACGCTTTGTTTCTTAATGTAATATTAGTGTCGTCTTCACTGAAAACAGACTGAGATGTTTTTTTGTCTACTAAACAGAACCGACAAAAGTAAAGGGCACTAAAAGATTCCATAAAACCAAGAATTGTGTGCATTCCCAAGTTGTCGCCAGTAACCTGTGCAATAGTGCCAAACAAGGGATCTTTGGAGAAAGGAACTGGAATGCCAGAACTTTCAAGGACTTTTAAATCTTCAACAAGGGGCCGCAAAATTGCATCAAATCCATAGTTTTTAATATCCTGTGCATAGAATAATGACAATAAATGTATGTTCATTAAGCTTGAATTCATTTTGGGTGGAAAGTTCCTGAGAATAAAGTAAATTACTCCAATTTTATGAATGCCTTGCTTCGAGCCCAGCGGATTAGCAGATTCAAAATCATCATAGTATAACTGTATCTGAAGTGCATTTTTATGTTTACTGTAAAGTGGGTGGTTTTTAAAATAATCCCCATCACAAAAATCTTTATAGACAGATGTACTCGCACTTGGACTTGTCATATGTTTACATATATCCGAATTCCTAAATATAAACTGCAATGTGTTCAAAAGGGGAATGTAAATGAACTTGTCGATTACAGGAACTTGATCATAAGTCCTCGTCACTCGATTCAATCTACTGTCAAATCGTACACCTAGCTTTATCTCAGTAGGATCGACGACAGCCCATTTGTCTTTGAAATATTTTTTCCATTTGTGTTCTGTGTTTAGATTTGTAAATGGATTATTCAGACTACTAAAACAGTCATCTACCTGGGATGGTGTTGCAAAATCCTTTGCTGGAAGTAAATTCATTACTTTACTTTTAATATCAGAATGTATTTCATGGACCAGTTCCTCCATGTCCGATATTACAGAAGTTACAACACTGGTTGCTACTCCACTATTTTGCAATCTAGCAACAATAGATGCACACATTTCTTGAGTGTCAATCACCCTCCTTTTATCACCGAGTGGTGTCTCAGGTTGTTGTTCATTATGATTATTTAATTGTGACGGTTCAGTATCTTCAGTCTGATTTTCAGTCTCTGCTTGGTCTAGAAATTCATGTCTATGAACACTACTCAAGTGTTTTCGAAATCCGGCATAAGTCATGAAGCTATGCTTGCAATTGTTCTGTGCACATTTCAAGTTCAATTTTTTCCCAGGATAATAAGCATGAATGAGTTTTAGATGACGAATGAGGTCATTAATTGTTAAATGTACCGCTTTACAAGCAAAACAGCGGAACATTTTCAGTCAGTCAAGAGAGCTAATTCAGAAGTTTGGCTCGTAGGTCCTTTACCCTTGGGGTTTCACGAACTGTGCCACAACCAATCTTGTAGATTGTTGTCTGAACAAATGTAAACATTGCATTTAAGGAGTGGGGGTATGACACACTAAAAACAAAATACGCTTTAAACAGTTCGTCAAAAGCAGAAAGGGATGACTTTGCCTGACATGGTAGAAGTTTTCCATCCAGAACAATGTAGAACTCATGAATGGCATTCTTTGCAGAGCCAACTGCAAGGAGATGTGGTTGCAGGCCTTCAGTCTTCTCAACATATTCAGTTAGACTGCAACAAGCCTGAAACAGGTGAAAAACAGATTTTCTTACAAACAAGTAACCTACAATACAGCTCACTAATGTTTCCATGCAAACCTTGTGAAACTGCACAACATGATCCATTGCCACCTTAATGCTGATCTTTGTTGAATTGTTTCTACCACCTGCTGAAGGTGGCAAAAGGAAAGCCAGTAGTAAAAGACAGGACATGTCACTGTCCCATCCTGCAAGCAAGAACAAAGAGAGCATGTAGATCAACAACAAATACAATAACCAAAAACTTACAAATAACAAACCATTTAATACCTTGCCATTCACATTCCAGGTTCTGTCCAGTGCCAGCTGCAAGCAGGCTGTTTAGGTACAAGTTTGAATTAAGCGTTTTCGCCTCTGCGATGATCTTTGGCTTTAAAGTGTCCCATTGTTCTAGTAGTCTGGAAGCGGTTTCAGTTCCAAATTTGATGTCAAAGTCTTGAAGAACCTGTAAAACAATTACAAACATAACAAAAATTCACACCATGCTTTTTGCATATTACCTAATTTTATCTCAACCAAATACTATTATCTGTCTCTTTCTCTTACCAATCCCTTTGTGTCGAGAAATCTTGGAAAAACTGAAAGAGCTGTGCTGGACTTCTCTGCATCATGAATAAGCTGCTGTCTGTGCTTGAATGTTAATTTCATCTTCTCAAAAATCTGGTCCTTGTCAGCACAATGACTCATAAATGATATGGCTTCTTTGCATTGGTCGCCATCGAGCTGCTTTTCCAAATAGTTCCAGTTGGCTCTGTTAGCTGTTGGTCCTCCGTTGCCTTCATCATCCGATGCTGCACTTGACCTGGCATTTCTTGTGCTCTGGCTTTTGCTTCGGCGTGAAACTGTTTTCAGACGCCATGATATGTATCCTTGATTGCTCTTGGGGTCATAGAAATGTTCCTTAAATAAAAACAAAATGACTGCTGATAAGATCAAATGCAAACATTTAAAATTTCTGATCATGTCACTACACTAGACTAAAAAAATACTGATGAAGAATACAACAAAATTTATTTAATTCAATTAGGGGAACTAGAAATGTAACAAGGTTCCACAAAATCTAAAATATGTTTCTATAAGGTACAGTAGAATAATAATAAGTTTTAAATTCTTACATATCCAGTTCTTGAGTATGGATCCTTCAGTGATGGGCAAAGAGTTACAATTCCCAAGGCACAGCGTGTTTTTGTTTCTTTGGAAGGGACACGACTATAAGAACAAGAAAAATAAGTTAAAACACTAAAACAGTTTGATTACAAAAATTGTATCAATGATTTTTAGATTGAAACCTACCCTTCTTTTTCAGTTATGTATGCAACAACGATGTTGACTAACTGTCGCCGGGTTGAATCTGTGAGTTTTCCCATGTTCATTATATTCGGCCAAAACGGCAAGTCCACCTGCCTTTTCTTTCAAAATTTCACTGACAAACTACAATAAAAACAAAGTAATAAAATGTCCGCATAATAAAAAAATGTGAAAAAAACTGCCAAACACTTCAACTAGTACATCATGAAATTTAAAAATTACCTGCTTAGCCTCAAAAGCTTCATCAAAACGAGGTCTCTTCATGCTTGGCCCAGCACGGTCATCAGTTTCAGTGTGGTTTGGGGTGAGAACTAGTGTGTCTGAGTGGGAGCAACAAGAATCGAGGACTGTGCATTCTGAAAGTAATAGTAATAATAATATTAAAAAGCATGTTATATGTACTGCATTCTAATGATGTGCCAAGCAATTTTAAAATTAGATTTGCCCTAAGCCAAACTTCTTAATGTTTAACATCACAAAACCAAAAGGTATGTCAGAGATTTTCAGCATACAACTTTGCATCACATAAAACATGGAATTGGTCTTTCAAACTTGCGAATATAGTAGGCTATCAGTTGTTTTTGACTCAAGAGAGAGCAAAAACAGTATTTAAGATGCTGCTCGCTCCCTCAGTCACAAGTGCAGTCACCAGTTCACTTACAAAACTGATGAAATAAGGCTTCACAATGTAGGAAAAACCCAGAAGATTAATATGAAAAAGATACATTAATTTGATTTTAGTAATAGGATTTACTTTTAAATATTAAATTTAGTAGTACATTTCAGTCATGAATGATTGAATAACTAAGCATTTACACATTTTTAGATAAAACAATTTCACAATTTAAGCACAAGTTATCTGACATCGTTTTAATGGAACTGTAGCTTGTCGCCACATATGAGGCCAGTTTAAATAATTATAACAGGGCTCGAAATTGCGACCATTTTGGTCGCATATGCGGCCTAAATTTTATCTATGCAACCTTAAAATATATTTGGGAGGAATTCTGCGAGTGCTTAAAATTGTTGTGTGCGACCAGTTTTTACTGCAAAATGTTCATCACATGCACGGATTCGGGAGACATTCACGCAGAATGCATCTCTAAGCTCTTTGTCTGCACTTGAAACGCAGCACACAGAAATGGTTTAAAACAATTGTCATGTCAACTTGCTGCAGTAAACAAAGCCAAGTCCGTAATGCTTGCCCCACCTTTACGCTCTTCTTATTGGCCCACCACTGCTCTAGCACTGAATGCGAATGATTGGTTAATATCAGCTGTCAATCACTCAGTCAGCGCCTTGCCTTCTGGCGTCGGATGAGAGAGCTACTACCGTGAAAAACTGTAAAGCGCTGAAGATGAGAATGAAGATAACACTGGCAGATTTTGTTTTAGAAACCATGGCATCTAAAGTTATAAATGACACATCTTACTAGTGACTATGTGCTGAATGTTAATCCACCATCTACACTTTTCCAAGAGTAGAAGACTTCCATTGGCTTCAAGTCCGTTATGAAAAGTCTGTGGGATGGAGTTTTCAGGTAACTGTTTGCCACATATAGCACGACAGCTTCTGTTTAATCCTTCATATAAATCGCCAGATGCTGTCCGCCATGCAAGGGGCAGCTATATGTCAAATTTAACACCACGTACAACATCGCAAACGGGCTTGCACTGAGTAAACTAACATCGCTACTCCTAAAAAGACCAGTATTGCTATTAACATGACGTATGCATATAATAAGGTACAGTAAGTGTCAAAAGCATCAGTGCAATATCAGACAGCACTTGTGAGAACAGCACAGTTATACCATTAACAGATTCATTCAAGCAGTGCGTGCAGGGCCAGTGATCGCTCCGTGTATGCTTTTGGTCACTCAGTTATGTTATAAAAATGTATTTTCTTGTGATAACTGGATTTCGTTGAGACATATTTTCCTTACGCTTGCATATCTATTAATTTTTTTTTTTGCTTGTTAGTTTGATTAGTGTTGATTTCAAATGCAATAAATATGTTTGTATAAAACTTGTAGTAACGGTGCTCATAATTGGTGGGTGCGACTAAATTTTGGCTGATGCGCCTAAATTAGGAGCACCGGTGCTACCAAGCAAAAAGGTTAATTTCGAGCCCTGTTATAAAGTTAGAAAAAAAGGCAAACAGATGTGGTTTATTAAACATTGAATGCATGGGACCAGAAAGCCCTGCATACAGAAACTTGCCTGAATCTTGGTCAATGACTCTCCAAAGTATATCACGCGATCTCTCCTCCAGCACGTCAGTGAAAACATCTTCATCTACCTCCACACCGGTGTCATCTTGCAAAACCAGATCCTTTTGCTCGATGGAAAATTTCTTCTTGACTTGACGTATTAAAAGAAATAACATTAATTGAAAAAAGACATTCCACCTGCAGCAACAGTCAAAACAAAAATGGAGTCAATAATTTAAGAACTTACCTTTTTTTATTAGACTGCTGTAATCAACTTCATCTACCTTAATCAACTTCTTTTTGCCTCCATAAATGACTTTGAAGAGCATTGTAGCTAAAGAAAAAAAAAAAAAGTTTTCGTTTGATTAGGCTTACAGTGTGATTCAAAAGAACACATTGATAAACCGGTGTTGTGCCGAAATCTGTGACTTGTTGAAAACTGTGACCCGTGTGTGACGTTTAGTAAAATTTTCACTCGGCAAAGTGCATGACGTTCATGCATGTGACTGTGAAAGCGCAGACACAAAAATCAAGCAAATAGCGTCGAGCGGTGCTGTAAAGAATGTTTCAAATCCTGGGATTCAGAAAACAGGTTCATGGAAGAATTTTAATGTAGTCGTGATATTTTGTTGTTGTCTGCAGGTAGACTGCTAAAACTAAACATTTAGTTGTGAGATTGAGTTGAAAAAAAAAAACAGTTCATTACAAAAGCTAATTACTGAGTGTCACATTTTGTATTAGTAAAATTAATCACCTTTTTAATGACATTCTAATCAATTGACATCCAACTGTATAAAGATATCTGGTCATCAATGTTTTAGAAAACAAATAAATTTGACACAAAATGTCAATTTATTAAACATTATAGTAAGTTTATACAGGGAAAACACTTCTATCTTAATCCTACCTGTATCACATGTAATTTGAACTCAGTAATTGGCATTTGTAATGAACTATAGGATTTTTTCGACTCATGTTTAGTTATAGCAGTCTACCAGCAGACAACAACAAAATATCACATTAAAGTTTTTCCATAAACCCGTTTTCTGAATCCCAGAATTTAAAATATCCTTTACAGCACAGCTCGATGCTATTTGCTTGGTTTAGACGTCTGCGCGTTCACAGTCACGTGCATGAAACAAGCACGTTCCCGAG